TAGTAGTAGTAGTAGTAGTAGTAGTATAGTATAGACTATAGTAGAGAGTAGTAGAATATATATATATATAATATTTTTTTTTCGCTCGGGTTATATGGTTTTTTATTCATTTCTATCAAGACTTCTTGAACCTACATGTTTTTCAAACATAATAAATGCGTATTAGAATATGGGACGAATGCTGGGGAGGTGAATATATAAATAATGTTAAAATTTGCTGAGTTTATAAAAAAGTAATTATTAAAGTAGCACGTAGAAAAATAATACAATATACACCTGATTTTCTACTTGAATGGTTAATGTATTAGACATGAGGCAACTATATATATATAATGAAAAAATATTAATAATTTTATTTAAGAATGAAACGTTAAAAACAGAGAAAACAACATGAGTGCATTATGCTTTATATTTATTCATATCATTATTCAATGATATAAAAACATTAACAAATTAGAAAACAAAAATTATTAAGCGGTTAGTGAAACATAAGAGACTAAACCTGGAAGATTTTTTCTCTTTATGAATTTCGTTGTTTGTTCGTTATTATTGTGTTTTATTCTTGTGTATGTTTAATTTTATATTGTGCTAAGATATTTAATACAAATTTAATATTAAATTAATGTGTGTACACACGTTTTTATTTTGGTACTTTTTTAATAGGTTAAGTGTTCTGTAACATACAAGTTTTTCTTATGTGGACATGTTGATTAATCTATATGTAATAATGTGTTTATTTATTTTGTTTCTAATAAACTTTCTATGGCGAAAACAATGAGTGAATGTTAATGAAATGGACTTTACATTTATAAAACACATCTTTTAATTCAAAAAGTATTTTGTATTTGTTTTTACGCACACACACACACACACACATTTATAATAATATAAGAGCGTGTCTGTTTGTCTGTAACCGCCATAGCTCCAAAAGGAAAGAACCTAGAAACCTGAAATTTTGCACACATAGTAAGTTGACCCTGAGGATGTGCACTTGTGTATTATTACTTATCCACGTGCATGCGCACGTACGCATCTTTTTTGTGAAGTAAGCAAGTGAAAAACCACATAGAAAATAATATGTGACTGCCAAAGCTCCAAGAGCAAAGAATCTAATAACCTCAAATTTTGCACCATACTAAGCGGACCCTGAGGGTTTGCACCTGGGTATTATTACTTATATATATGTGCGTGCACATCTTTTTAACGAGGCAAACTAGCGGAAAACCACATAGAAAAGAAGTGGTTCCTTATATTACAAAATACTGAATGGGTATTATTACTTATCCTATCAACGTGCGAGCGCATTTTTTTAATGAAGCAAGCTAGCGAAAAAACATATAGAAATTAAGTGTTTTATGTTTCTTGGAAATAAAAATGTCTAAAATATTTTTGACTGTTCTACTATGCTAATATAGGTTCAGAATACATACACTGACATAGTCATATAGAATATATCAACTTAATAACCCGAGCGAAGCCAGGTATTTTCGCTAGTACGTATTATAAAACGTGACTATAAGTCAGGAAAAGGTTTGTTTTGTTTTGAATTTCGCACAAAGCTACACGAGGGCTATCTGCGCTAGCCGTTCTTAATTTAGCAGTGTAAGACTAAAGGGAAGGCAGCTAGTCATCACCCCTTACCGCCAACTCTTGGGCTACTCTTTTACCAACGAAAAGTGGGGTTGACCGTCACATTATAATACCCACACGGCTGAAAGGGCGAGCATGATTCGAACCCGCGACCGTCAGATTGCGAGTCCAGCGCCCTAACCACCTGGCCATGCCGGGCCGTCAGGAAAAGGTGATTCACGATTAATAATTTACACAATATACCAATGAACTTGCAGTAACATTGATATTAATAATAAGGAAATGATAAAGACAAAACATAATTCAAGTATTTAGTACAAACTTATAAGGTTACATGTCAGATGTTTTAGTGAATTGGTGAAACGATCTTTTGAAATAAATTGACGAATTCCACGATTTAAAATACACTATGAAAATTAAACATATTAACTTATAGGTGTTAATAAAACAAAGTGCTAGGTTTCTACTATGTACGAATATTTTAAATTATGATTAACATCATAACACCATTCCTATAGCTAGTATAGTTTTAAAATTATCCTTTGTTTTTTGACTATATATATCGTAAATAAATACTAAATGAAAGTAGTTAACAACATTCTCATTATTATTTTAACGTTTTTAAATATGACATTTGCAAAGTTAGAAATTCCGTCAAGAAATAAAATTAGTTATTAACTTATGTTATTAACTATGAAGTAAATGTACTGCTATTCACATATCATAAATGGATAGATACTAGGTTTGAAGTACTTAATTCCTTACATTAGGGTCGTGGGTCATTTTTAAAAATGTGGAAGAAGCACGTGTACCAACTAGTTATAAGAAGTAAATGGCTCGGGTGTGGAAGTAAATTACTTCATGTTAGCAAAGTTTATTCGTGTGTGTATGCGAACAGTATTTTTGCTTAACACTACAGGGAGAATTATCATAAACATACGCTCTCACCTGACGTTTTCATGACGGCTCATGTAGATCTTTTTAAACTGACCCGTGATCACAGCTCCTAGATCCTGTCTAATTTCAGCTGCTAAGTGTTGAGGGAGAACAGATAGTAGCAGTCTTTCCTAAAAAGGATACTTTCAACTTGGTTTATTTTACAAAAATAGCATTAATACGAATTATGTTCAAACATATTTTTTTTTTCATGGTATTAAAGTCTCTATGCAATACTATACTAAGAACACAATGCTGAATCACAATATACCCAGATGAAGCTAAAAACAAAACTGTTAAAATTTCATGATAAACAATACAATTTATGTGCTCTAGAAGATATTATAAAAACAAAAACAATATCGTATTTCCTCAAATACAGCTTACACTGAACGCATTATTTCCTTTTCTTGAAACAATCAAAAATAAAAATAACGTATGTTCTAAATTACGGAAAAGAATCACAAATCATATCTCTTTTTGTCACTGTAAATCTAAAATAATCGTCTTTTACTTTTGAACAAAACCAGAGAAAAGTTGCTGATTGTACCTGTTCCTGGGATTCTTCCTCTAAAATTAATTTCACTTCGAGACTTTGACGAGTTTCTAGGAAGGACTGTCTTTGCTGCCTTTCGGCAAAAAAGAAGGATGTGATTCCCAAGACATTGACACACAGGAACAGTAATAAATTGGCGCATATCTAAAAAAGAAGAATTCATAACGAATACACTAAAAAAAGTGTGTATGTTAGAAATATTTATGTACAACTTTCGATCTGCTTTTTACACACTAATATATTTATTCAGATTAATTATTATTGGTTACAATAATAAATTCACTAAAAATTGTTCATGCGATTAGTTTTGATGGAACGCAACAAATAGATCAGGATTTATCTTTTAATGTCGGAAATAATTATTTAAGTATTTTTCAGAAATAGCATCTTGCGAGTAATAAAATTAAAATCTGTGAAACTAACTCAGACAAATGCCTCTTACAGAATTAAGGACTACAATCCAAAGTTTTCAGCATAATCATGCGAAAGTCGAGTACAAACGTTTAGATAATCTATTCAGAGTGGTAAGAACCCTACGAGCTTCCGTTATATTTAAGGAATTATCTTTGTTTAATATTTAAAACAAATCCTATAAACACAATCAAACATGAAATTCAAAATGTGACCTTAATGTTTTTATACAGCTTTTAATCCATTGAATAGAAGTAATAATTCATTCTGTTTATTTTTCGCGATTTTGTAATTAAGTAAGTGAAATTTTTACAACGAATCTTGCAATTAAAATTTCTAATATTCCCATTACTCTAGTAAGAATCAAAATGTATTGAGATACTTAAACATATTTTTAGTTCATTCCTTCCCCTTATCAAACATTTTCATTATATGAAGTTAATTTGTTTATATGCAACGTCTCAATAGTTAAGATTTGTAACCATATCTTCAAAGAAAAGTCCAACTGACTGTCATGGTAACAGTTAGACAATATCTGAAGCTGTACAGAGTCATTCTGTTTTTGTTTACAAGTAAAGAAGTTCTGTGTTAACGTGGTAGAGTTAAAAAATAAAAAATAAGTGAATGTGTTATATATGTACATATTAGGTCGTCAAGAAATTAATGTCGCGTTTTGGAATACTTTCATTAACGCCTCCTCCCAAAAACGTACATCACGTGTAATAAGTAAACAAACCGCCTAAACATCACGTTAGTGTAGCCTATATAATGTGTAATGTTTAGTATACT